CCCCCCCTCGGGCTGGCCCGAAGGCAAGTCTTACCCGAGGTCCAAAACGAGGGGGGTACTGTAGCGCTACAGTATCTGCTACAGTACTGCTACAGTACCCCCGCTACAGTACCTCGCTGATTTGATTTTTTCCCTGTTGCCACGTGGCGTCGTCTGGGCTCTCCGATCTGATTTTTTCCTCCAATCCAACGGCAGCCAATTTTTTTGCAATAAAATACTGGAAAAAATTCGGAAAATTTTTTAAAAAATACCCAAAAATTAATGAATTTTTTTCTATAAATACCAGCCTTTTTTTTTTTTTTTAATTTATCTGAAATTTGAAATTGAAAATTTTATCCGATTATGAGATATGAATAGTATTGACACGTAGGAACCCGAAAATCTTATCCGAAAATATTATCCAAATTAATTATTGAGGTAAAAAAAGTTGTGAATAAAACAAAAAAATGAATAGTAACTGCCCTTAGCAAGGGCAACGGGTGGAAACACAAAATTCGGATTTTGCAAGGGCAACCACTATTCACGTGAATAGTAGTTGCCCTAGCTCCCCCCTTGCCATAACTAAGGGTAAATGGGTGGAGTTGCTCTAATGGATACTTGCAGATTAGCTTTACTTATGAGAAAAAGCGTAAAAAAAACATTTTAAGTACACTGCACAAAAAGAAGAGGCCAATAGTCACTCTTTTGTCACTAACTAATTGGTACGGGTGACATAATAATGTTTGTGATTACTCTCAAATTCAGGGGTTCACAAGTAATTTACTTCTGACAAACGGTGGAAATTTCAGGGGTTCAGTTCACACTGTACTTCACTAGGAGGAAAGTAGGTTTCGCAAAGACTCACCCATGTGCTTTTGTATCATTACGCTTAATTCATAGATTTTGCAATCTTAATGGGTCCCATTGAACTATATATTTGGGATAAATAGTGGGGAACAGCCAATATTTGCAGATCAGCTTTCCTTCTCAGAAAAAGCGTAATGCGTCTCACACAAGAAAACTTTTAAGTACACTGCAGAAATAAAGGGGCCAATAGTCACTCTCTTGTCACTAACTAATTGGTATTGGTGACCATTGAATTGTTGGTCAATGCTTTTGTTTACTCATCACTATTATTTGTGACTACTCCCAAATTCAGGGGTTCACACTAAAAAGGTAATTTACTTTTGACGAACGGTGGAAATTTCAGGGGTTCACACTGTAGTTCAGTAGGAGGAAAGTAAGTTTCGCAAAGACTCACCCATGTGTTTTAGTAGAATTATTGTACAGGAGGAGTTGAGGCTATGGTAACGATTATAAATACACAATTAATGCTTGTATCTTGAGATATCAGACAAGCATATATACTTCACCAGTTTTATCTTTGTCTCAATACTTGTGCTTCTTCGTCTTCATCATGACTCTAACTAACATGGTTGGAGTAAGGTGCTGCTTCAAACTCCTCTGTGCAATTGTGGTGCTCATTTTACTACACATGAACAATCCTTGCACTGGATGCAGCGAGAGGGAAAGGCAGGCACTCCTTGCGCTTAAACAAGGTCTCGGGGCATTGGACGACGGCGATCCCTTCCATTCCTGGGGAAGAGAAGCCCAAAACAAAGATTGCTGCAAATGGGATGGAGTCCACTGCAGCAACCAAACTGGCCATGTTGTTAAGCTTGAACTCTATGCTTTGCAAGGTAAGATTAGTCCTAAACTCATTGAGTTGCAGCATTTGGAATATTTGGTCCTTACTTGGAATAATTTCAATGGGAGCCAAATTCCAGATTTCATTGGATCTCTGAGCAATTTAAGATACCTCGATCTCTCTCAAGCAAATTTTGGAGGTTTAATTCCATATCAACTTGGAAACCTTACAAACTTGGAACATCTCGATCTTAAGTATTCTGTCTCTCTTTATGCAAAAAATCTGTATTGGCTTCCTAATCTTTCTCGTCTAAAATACTTGGACCTAAGTTTCGTTAATCTCAGTGATGTTGTTGGTTGGCTGGAAGCAGTTAATATGCTTCCTAAACTAACAGACTTGAGATTACCGATGTGTAATCTTCCTCCTCCAGTTATATCCTCTGTTTCTCTCTTGAATTCTTCTAAATCTCTTGTTCATGTCGATCTCTACAACAACAGTCTTGACTCATCCATCTCCCAATTGTTGCCCGGTACTCATACCAACCTTGTTTATCTTGATCTCTCGGAAAATAAATTGAGTGGAAGAATACCTGAAAGTATTGGACAGATGTCCAATCTGAATTCTATCGATTTGCATATGAATTCTTTTGAAGGAGTCATTTCCGAAACTCATTTCTCGAAACTCTCCAAATTAAGTTATTTGGATTTATCCTCTAACTCACTAGTTTTAAACTTCAGTTCTGATTGGGTTCCTCCCTTTCAATTGGTTGAGATAAGATTGAGGTCTTGTAAGATGGGGCCGTATTTCCCGGAATGGCTTCGAACTCAGAAAAGTTATACCCGGCTGGATATTTCTGATGCTGGAATTTCTGATACCATTCCAACTTGGTTTTGGGATTTGCGAACGGATTTGCGAAATGACATTGTGTATAAGGATTTGTCTTGCAATCAAATTAGAGGAAATTTGAGATCAGAGTTAACAGGGGATTTTTTAAATGTGAGTTGGAACCAATTGGAGGGTCCAATCCCTTCAATCCTATCAAATGTGTCAAGTCTAGATCTGTCCAATAATAAATTTTCAGGGTTAGCTTCATTATTGTGCACAAGTACAACCGAGACGAGTAAATTAGAATATCTTGATCTCTCAAGCAACCATGTGTCCGAAGATCTCCCAGACTGCTGGATCCGTTTTCAACGATTAGTCTTTCTTGATTTGAGCAACAACTTTTTATCTGGGAAAATTCCTACCACGATGGGATACTTGTTTAGCATCGAGACACTAAAACTAAATAACAACAGATTTGTCGGAGAATTGCCTTCACAATTGAAGAATTGCACAAGGTTGACACTTGTTGATGTTGGGGAAAATAAATTGTCAGGATTAATACCTGAATGGCTAGGGGAAAATCTTCTAAATTTGGCTATCATTATCCTTCGATCTAATCAATTTTATAGGAGCATCCCGCCACAGTTATGCCATCTTACACACCTTCAAATTTTGGATTTGTCGATGAACAACATCTCTGGAACTATACCGAAATGTCTCAACAAATGGACTACTTTGGCTCAAAAAGGAACGTCAACTCTAACTATGCATCATGAGTCCCTTCTTTGGCACTTTATAGACGAAGAAAATGTAACATGGAAAGGAGCAAGGTCAAAATACAAAAATACTCTGGGACTTGTAAAGAGTATTGATCTCTCATGCAATAAGTTGAGTGGGGAGATTCCTACTGAAATCACTTATCTTGTTGGTGTGGTTTCTTTAAACTTGTCGAGAAACCAATTAACAGGTCAAATACCTTCAAGGATTGGAAATTTGGAGGAGTTGGATTCTCTTGATTTATCAAGAAACATGATAAATGGCAGAATTCCAACAAGTATTTCTCGGATAAATCGTATTGGTTACTTGGACTTGTCACAAAACAACTTGTCTGGAAAAATTCCAATAGGCACTCAACTTCAAACCTTTGACTCTGCTTATGGTGGAAATCCTCTGCTTTGTGGAAAACCACTCCCAAGGACATGCCCTGAGGAGGAAAAAGGTTCAGGACAATCTGTGTTGGTGAATGAAGACGACAAAGATGGGCTCATAACACAAGGATTTTACATCAGCATGGGGCTTGGGTTTGCTGTTGGATTTTGGGGAGTTTGCGGCACTCTTCTGCTCAACAGGTCATGCAGATATACGTACTTCAATTTCTTGACCTTTCTGAACGATTGGCTGTACGTGAATGTAGAAATCATCAAGCAAAGGATCCTTAATAAATAAAAGGTAATTACTACTATCTTTCTTACATACTAGTTATGAAATTAAATTATGCAAGTTAGTTGTTCTTAACCCCGAATATACATGCAAATATTACATAACATAAGATATGAAAACTAAAAACTAAAATTGAAATGATTATCAAACGGGCCCTTAGTTTATGTGATTTATCTTTTTCAATCTTATGGGTTGTTTAACATTTGTCTTTAGCGCAGGCACCTTTGAGACAACATGCTTCCCTTTAGTTGAAGATGGATGCGATGAAGGACTCCTATTTGTACTAGTTTTCGAGTATTTGAGTGATGATAAGGGATCTCACTGAAATAAAGGAACCATTTTAGTAGATTAGTTGTGCTGTTATTTGTAAGAACTTAATGGGAACTTCTCCCATGAACTATTTGGTATGATGTTCTTATGTACCTCATGGTGTATGTTTTTTTCTTTTGCAATGTAAGAAATGCAAACGCAGAATTGCCTTTTACTGTATTGTTGTTATGAATAAAACAATGGAATTTGAGTTAACATATGTTATTATCTTTCGTCTGTGTAAGAAAGAAAATACTTGTCTTAAAACAAAAGAAAAGAGAAATTGATGATACACTGGGCCTGCTCAAGTTTGTTGTATTCTACATTGGGCTATAAAGTATCTCAGTCTCATAAACACAAGGAAATAGCAATAGAAATGAAGAAGGGAAAAATAGAGCAAAAACAAGGGAGAGGATATTGCTCTCGGCACTAGCTTTTCTATTTATACAAAAAGACATGTACATATTAATAACAACTCTAGGACATTAATTTGAACAACTTGTGCACTAATTCATCAAAAGTCATGAAATGTAAAAAAAGAAAAGGAAATTACGCTTCTTTAGAATCAAGGTTTCAATGATGGAGCCAATTGCAAAAGACGATGCTTATTAAGTAGGAAGTAAATTTTTATGGATTGGCTATGAGATGTGCTTTATGACATATGAAAATTGCAGAAGTGAAGCTTCAGAAGGAACTATACATACAGATGATAGTAGAAACATTTCCCTGGAAAAAGATCTAAAGAATGTACCACAATTTGCACTGGTGGGTGCTTTGAATTTAGATTTGGACTGATGGTGATGATGACCACCATTGACATTAATAGTACAACTACTAATCTTTTTATAGGCCAGTTAGGTTCTATGAGCTAGGTGGGTCCCTCACCTTTAAAAAAAAGCAAATAGTATAGCCGCGCCGCTATACTTCGGGTTTTTTGAAGTCTTTTAATAAATAGTATAGCCGTAGGGCTATACTTGAGTTATTTTCTAGATTTTTCTAATAAATAGTATAGCCGCTCGACTGTACTTGGAGTTAGTAAGGGCTTCTTTTCCCCTTGCAAGATACGGTAGCTGAGATTGCAATGAAATGGACTAAAGATCTGAGAACTGGCGCTCTTGGGGTGAGATTCATGGCTGTTGATCTAAACACAATCATGTTCAACATGGAACAAGGCCAAGACACGACAGAGGCATGTTTCTTTCCCCCCCACTTTGTGTCTTTTAGCCTCCAAATCAAAGAGAATGAGATTCCTTTGTGTCTTGCTAGAGAAATTGCGCAAGATACTTTTACATTCTCAATTATTTTTATAATTCTATTACAATTTACATTCAATGTTTTCAGGAAGTAAGTTTGTCCTTCTAATCCCTATAAAATGGCAGGACATGAACACCTTATAGCTTACCCGTTCTAATCCGCACAAATTGTAAAAATCCTTCATCTCTACTTCCAGTGGCAGACCTGTGCAGGCGCAAGGAGGTGCACCTGCATCTCCAGTCTCCGGAAAACTCCATTAGAGATGCTGGAGTTGCACCTCTGCTTCAGAACAACGACACACACCACATGTTCAATGAAATGCGCAAACCAGTCTGCGCTGCGCTGCTGGTGGTGCGAGCTTGTTTTTTTTTTTTTAACGAAGCCTGGCCAAAACGACGTTGTTTTGGACCAGTCTTTTTAAAAAGGCGCTGCTTTATTTTTTTATTTTTTTTTAACCTGGCCAAAACGACGTCGTTTTGGTCCAGGGTTTTTAAATTAAAACAAAACGGAAAAAAAGGGAAACTTAAGCTATAATTCGTGGGCTTTTCAAAGGGCTTTTAGAATTCCTTACTTAATTGGGTTTTAATTAGGAGTTCCCTTTATTCAATTGGGTTTTGGGAATTCCTTAATTAAGTAGGATTGAGATTTCTCTTTATAAAAGGCCAATTTAACATCACCCAATTTCATCAAAGTGTGTGTGCATCACAAGAATCCTGTGTTTTTTTTTCCTTCTTGAGTTCGCCAATCCAAAGTAAGTCGAATGCATTTTTTTTTTCTTGAGCAAATGCCAATTTTGTTTATTCTTTTTTTAACAATTTTTTTTTTCTTATTTAGCTATCTCGGTATTAGTAAGATAAGTAGCAAATTCGAGGAGGAAGAGGCTACGTGACACGTTATTTGAGGTATAATTAATTTTAATTTGTTTATTTAATTGATAATTTGATATTGATTTATTTATTTAATTGATAAACTACAGTCAATTAGTCATAGTAATAGATATAAAACCTTTATTTTGTTTTAATTGTACAGTTATGGAACGGTACTTTCAGAGAAAGAGTTTAAATCCTCCTTCAAATAATTCGTCTAGTTCCAACCCTCCTTCAAATAATCCGGCTAGTTCCAGCCCTCCTTCAAATAATCCGGCTAGTTCAAATCATCCTTCAAATAATCCACCTACTTCACATCCTCCCTTGAATAATTCGAGTAGTCCAAAACGATTAGAGGTCACTGAGTTGGATGAAATATTGGCTAATCTTCCTGCAGACCCTGGACTTAGACCTCCAATGACTTATTATAATCCCAATTTTCGAGAACAAATCCGAAGAGCCTATCTGCAAAGGAGTCCTTGTCAGCCTAAAAGCCAAAATGACATGCCTCAAACACTTATGGGGGAGAATAATCGACGTTTTCTTGTGAAATTGTTTGATTCATTTGTTTGGTTGGAGTATATTAAAGAAAAAGATGCTGCATTTTGTCTTCATTGTTATCTTTTTAAATGCGACTTTGATAAACAAGGAAAGGCTGGAAGCGTTGTCTTCATTGAGAAAGGGTTTAAAAATTGGAGGAAGGGACCTGGGCATTTTAGGGACCATGTTGGACAAGTTGGAAGTCTTCACAATAAAGCTACACAACATTGTACATATTTAATGAATCAGAAGCAACACGTTGAAACCATTGTGATCAAGCAGACAGACCAAGCTTGTAGTAATTATCGCATTCTATTAACTGCCACACTTGATTGCACTAGATATTTATTGCGACAAGGTCTTCCTTTTCGTGGTCATGATGAAAGCGAAACATCTAGAAATAAGGGTAATTATGTGGAGCTTTTGCAATTTCTTGCCAATCATAATGAGAAAGTTCATGCCGTTGTGTTTGAGAACGCTCCAAGGAATCTCGAGTATATGGCTCCTAAAATTCAAAAAGAATTTGTCAAGTCTTGTGCCGCTGAAACCATTGATGCAATTATTAGTGATATGGACGCTGCATTATTTTCTATATTGGTAGATGAATCATGTGATGTTTCAATAAGAGAGCAAATGGCGGTGGTGTTAGGTTATGTGAACAAAAAAGGGCAAGTAATTGAAAGGTTTGTGGGTATCCAATATGTCTCTGATACGACTAGTAGCAAATTGAAAGAGGCAATTGAGCAGTTGATTTCTTCATCAAATTTGAGCATGTCCAGGCTACGAGGACAGGGGTATGATGGCGCTAGCAATATGAGAGGTGAGCTCCATGGTCTTAAAACACAGATTTTGAGAGAATATCCTCAAACATATTATGTCCATTGTTTTGCACATCAACTACAACTAACTCTTGTAGTCTTGTAGCCGTGGCAAAGGGGAATGAAAATATTGCTACTTTCTTCACAACGGCTAGTAGTGTTGTTAACATTATTGGAGCATCGTGTAAGCGTCGTGATGCACTTAGAGAGCAACAATAAAAAGATATTATGAAAGCTCTTGAAATTGATGATCTTGAAACATAGCGAGGGTTAAATCAATAAACTACTCTCAAACGTCCTTGTGATACATGTTGGAACTCACATTATGATACTTTACTTAGTATTAATACTATGTTTCATCCTGTGGTGAAAGTGCTTGAATGGATTGTTGGTGATGTCAACCAAGATAATTTAGATGAAGCAAATAGGTTGTTGAAAGAAATACAAACTTTTGACTTTGTGTTTCACCTATATTTGATGAGATTTATATTGGGAATCACAAATGATTTGTCAAAGGCATTACAAAAGAAAGATCAAGATATTGTTGTTCACCCGTTTTGCGTTTACTCCTGTGGTGGAAGGGCAAAGTTCCCCACTGCCTTGTGAACCATTGACTGGTCAACAAGTCAGATTTCTTTGGTGTGCGAGCGTGCCACTGCTAGCAATGAAGATTCTAGCAGACTTAGTTTAGAATGGATAACTTGCGCCCCAAGTTACTGATTTCTGCAAACAAACGATTGTGAATTTGGGTGAGGAATATCTCTCAAGTAAGTTCTTTTTCTTGCCTCAGACTGGTGAGGACTTTAACAATTTATCTCAGTATAAAGAGGTTGTTCTGGCCAGAATGGTTTATGGAATTTAAACTGTCTCGAGCAGAACTGTCTTTTACATAACTATAAAAATAAATATCCATGCTAGAAAGATGAACGGACAGCTGGAAATTCATTTCTGTCTGGATATGAGGCTCTGATCCAAGCTAGACTGAACTGTTGACAACTTCAACTGCTAAGCTTCAGCTGTAAATCGATACCAAAGGTTAATTCTGGCAGAGCTTTAATGTACTTCAAGCTTTTGTGAGGCTTTTGAGTGGGCAGAACTGCGGTTTCTTCAGTCTGCAAGGACAGAAGTGGCTGTTCTCGAGGGCTTCAGTGGGCTAGAGACTGCACTGTGAAATTTGTTGAGGTTTTCATGTTTGGGAAAAGCTCAAGCTCTACCTGTCTTGGTTCTTTGCTGAACCAAATTTATAACGAGAGAAATCTCGTTTTAATTGACTTATTTCCTAAGTCTGAACCTTGGGAATTTTAATCTAAAGCTGGTTTCACTTGGAATTCAAGTGGGCTTTTGGTTGATTTTTGAGTTGTTTGTTTGTTTGATGATTTTTTTGGGTAAGATTGATTGTTTGTTTTTTTGAATGTCCCCTGCCCTGTTCACTCCTTCTTGTATTTATAGTAAATGTTTTCTGGAGTAGGGTGATTCTTTTAATAATGGGTGGCAAATCCTTTCAAAAAGATATCCCTTTAAGAAATGGAAAGAAAGAAAATAGGATTTCATCCGTTTTATGGTAGATAGGTTCTCACTAGGCAATCACTTCCCTATTTTTCTTGAAAGAGAACCTAATCTTTTCTTTTAATTTCAAATGCCCCTTTTGTGAGAGCTAAAAATCCGTGATGGTTAGTTTGATTTTTTTCTGGACAGCTCCTTGTTTCATGCTTATCTCTTCCAAAGTTTGCATATCTCTTGGGAGAATCACTTATAGAAAAAATATCTCTAAAAATATATTAATATGTAAGGGGATTTTGATCTTTCCTAATTTCATAGATGTCCCTTCCTAGTTTTTGCCAGCTACTGACCCTTCCATTTATCAACTCTGTGGCAGTTGATTTTTTTGACTTTTCAAAGTATGAGAAAAGAACTTCACGTGGGGTTTCTTCTAAAAGTATTTCTTTCCAGAATTTTGTTTCTTTTGGGCCCTTTTTGAGAGATGGTAATGATCTAGGCCCAGCCCGATTTCTTCTCTCTTTGATCTGCCTAGAACGAATTTTGCCCCTCTTTTGTGTATTTTTACATTTCTGCCATCCTTTTGAAAAAATGTGGGCTGTGTTCTTTTCCTGTTTGATTTTTGAAGCCCAGGTCCTTTGCTCTACGGGCCTTCTGAGAAGTGGGCCTATGTGTTTTTGCTTTTGGCCCAAACAATTGTGAATGTGATGATGTTGGTCCAAAAATGTAAGCAAAAGCTACAATCCGTAAGGGATGATGACTTTGAGGATTTGCTTCGCGAAGTATCAATATTTTGTGGCAACAATGATATTGACGTTCCTAACATGGATGATTTATTTGTACCACAAGGGAGATCAAGACGTAAAGCTCAGAAAATCACAAACCGCCATTATTATCGCATGGACCTATTTCTTACTATCATTGATAAGCAACTAGTGGAATTGAATAATCGCTTCACTGAGGTAAATACTGAATTGCTTCTTTGTATGGCATGTTTGAGTCCGGCTTATAATTTTGCAACTTTTGACAAACAAAAAATACTTCGTTTTGCTAAATTTTACCCTCAAGAATTTAATGACCGAGACCTCATGAAGCTTGAAGATCAACTTGGGCTTTATATTGTTGATATGCAGAGCAGCACAGAGTTTTCATCATTGAACGGAATTACTGATCTGGCAGAAAAATTGGTGAATACAGGAAGGAGTAGAATATACAACTATGTGTATTTACTTCTTACATTGGCTTTAGTTTTACCCATTGCAACTGCTTCGGTTGAGAGAGCTTTTTCAGCTATGAATATTGTGAAAACACCATTGCGTAACAAAATGGGGAATCAATGGTTGAGTGATAGTTTGGTTGTTTACATTGAGAAAGAATTTTTTTCTTGTATTAGTAATGCAAATATAATGCGACGTTTTCATGATATGAAACCTCGTCGGCAACAATTATAGGTTAATTGTAATGTTATTTTTTTAATTAATTATGAATAACATTAGTATTTTTTTTAATGATAAGGATGTTTGGTTGTCTTCATTTCTTTCTTTCTTTCCCTTTTTTTTTTTTTTTTTTTTGTTGAGCTCTTATCTTTTAAAAATTGCACCTCCGTTGAAAAATTTCTGGGTCGGCCAGTGTCTACTTCATTTCTTAATTCAAGATGTGTTGATTCTATTGAGTTGTTTCATCCAATCCAATCCTAGACACTGAACGTCACCTATCAATAAATGACGTATATTCCTTTAGATATAATCCATGTTCTTTTTTTGTTGGTTCTCTTTCTAAAGTCAGTTCCTCTCGTCCCTTTTTTTATTTTATCATATTCTCATTCTTATGCTATTTTTCATTGTGTGGAAGTATTTTGTCTTTCAGACCGATGGAGACGACCATGAGGAGAAGGCAGGGAATTAGTGATACCTTGATCATTACAAAAAATTCTATCTCAGCATCAGAAGCCAAAGAAATTGGTTTTAACGACATGAATGAACAATTTCGGGCTAGGAAGAGGGAGGTGTAGAAGAATCGTCATTTCTCGCAATGAAATTAAATCAGACAAAAGCTTGTCTGTTGGGATTGGCAATTTGTGCAACAAGTACTGCAACTTGTCGGTCGTAGTAATATTTCTTCTTGTTGTTGTTGCACATATTCCGTTGGCGGGATTGTGGATAAAAAGGGCAACAAGACCTACAACGTTGTTAACTCAAGGGTAAGTACTATTTCATCTTCTTCTTCTTTATGCAGCTTTTCTTTTCTTTTTTCCAACTTAGAACAAGTTTTAAAAACTCCGTA